CATAAATCATGTTTTCATTTATATGAATAAAAATCAATACTTTGTGAATCAGAATTCAGCTTACCAGTCAAACAATCTTATAAAATAATTCTGATTCATCGTAGAAACGTTTCATGAGAGAATATGAATCCAAAACATCAAGAAATGTTATGCACCGTAAAAAGAATACCTTAAATAAACATCACTAGCAATAGTAAAATACAAATATTAAAATATTAAGCAACAGGCATCTGAGGCACTGAGGCTACAATAACCAAAAATTGCGTACCTCTGAATGTGCCTGAATATATGCAGAAAGAGGTTCACCGGTATGGGAAATTATTACATCAACAAGCAACCCTGTGCAATCAATAAGTGTCCTCCGGATCCTTTCCTTCAGAAGCTTCTGTGCTATTCTATTTGAACCTTTCCCCCATCTCAAGGCAAATGCAAGCCTCAGTATACGCTTATTGATAATGTCAAACCCATCTTTCTTACTACTGCCATTTATCTTGGAGGAACAGCCCCCACGGATCTGCTCCTGAGCAGCCAGTAGTAGAACCGCAGACTGGATAAGCTTTCCATGCTCAAGGTAGTTCCAGAGCTCATCAAGTAGATTATTTGTTTTATCAGCAAGCAGTCTAGTTGTATACAAGAATATCTTCTGTAAAACAACAAGGAACAAAAATCTAAGTGTCATTTAGCATTTGTATGCAAGCAAGTAGTGTTGAATAACTTTAAATATATCACTTCATTTCCTCCTATCAGAGTAAATATGGTTTAGGGACATTCTCTGAGGCAAGGAAAATAAAGTTATTTACTGTTAACAGTTTTGTATATTTTATTGAAGACTCCTTGCCTTTTACTATAAGAACACGCACTAACACATGAAGTAGGGCCTTGTTTAGATGCCATCCAAATTCCAAGTTTTTTCACTCTCTCTCCATCACATCAATTTTTAGCCGCTTGCATGGAGTATTAAATGTAGGTAAAAAAAAACTAATTACACAGTTTAGTTGGAAATCACGAGATGAATCTTTTGAGTCTAGTTGGTCCACGATTGAACAATATTTGCCAAATAAGACGAAAGTGGCACTATTCATCAGGTTCACTTTTTTTGCAATTAAACAAGCCGTAAGACAGAAGATTCAGAAGGGGAAACTTTAACTTCTCTGACAAGTGGAGATAGAGGATGCTCAGTCCTTAGTATAACTAATCCAATATAACAGCTGTGTGGGATACTGGGATCTATGGCATGACCACACTTACTTTTTATGTCATGCGGAACAAGAACTTCGTACAGGGAAGGGAAGTGAAACACAGCAGATGGATATAAGCTTGTAGATATAATCCAGACGACTCTCGCTGGGAGAAAGATTGTCCTCCAGATACTTATGCACGCAATTATTCTCAATTGCAACATGGAGCAGAAGTAGGTTCTCAATGACATCATTCCCAACTGTGCGTACATTGGCTGATGCGCCATGGCGCAAAAGCAGCTTCATGGAGTGGGAAGTATCCACATGGGTTTATCCAGTTGGGATTGGCGTGCATTCCATTGAGCTTAGGTGCCTTGCCCTCCAATACAGCTTTTGCACATCGCAGAGCATTATAACTGACCATGAGGGTTAAGATTTGTGCGGTGATGCTTAAATTCCATGACATGCCCCTGCCTGAAAAGTCCTCGAACAATCGGAGGAAGCACCGGACACTATCCTTTTTAAGGATGGGGTCCAATTTGTCATAGTTGTCAAGGAGGGTATCCCTCACCCACTAGATGGATGCATAACAGTTGAAAAAGGTGAAAGGCATCAGTTATCCAATATTATATAACAAAGCACATCAAGGTAAAATCTATCAACGTGCATATATGACAATAACAGTAATGATAAAACCATGTAACCCAACATGCAACAAGGGAAGAGAAAGAATATAAAGGGGTCTAAAGTCTATCATGGTTCAGGCATGTGATCAACGTGTTCCTAGTCAAGGTTCATATATGAGTATATGACAACAATATACAGTAGACTTAAGTACCCTATAATATTACATGATTAAATGAAATGACTAATATAATGGAACGAATCATCAACCAAATTCTGTTAATGAAGGCAACAGAAACCTGGGGAGTAGGGTCTGGGATGATTATGTCATTTGCCAAGGACTTGGCGATAGAAACAGACCTTTCGATCATGCGCTGAAAGAGAATGCCAAGAGTCAGCGCTAAGAAAATAGAAAGGGGAGTGGAATATCACACAGATGGACAGTTATCATACCTCTTTGAGCCTTTTCCTATCGCATACCTCATTAACTTCAAAATAAGGGACAGGCGGCCGCGGATACTCATTTCTTATTGGAATTGATCCATCTTTACCATTACCACTATCTTTGTTGCAGGAAGCTGCCGCCTCTTAACAGATAATGTAACCAGGTGCCTTAAGTTTCAATTCCATCATTTCGTTTTTCTGAAACCTAATCTCAAATTAAGATTCAACCACTATTACTGCAAAGGCATGCCACAGTCAAACATTGATCCAGGAGACCATGAGATAAATTGAGTCTTTATATGCCTACAATCAGGGGGCAGACCCAACCGTAAAGTACATGTGTGCACACATGGACACCGATATTTTTTTGCAAGAAAATCGAAGTTAGTAGGCATATTACATGTATACACTTGTACTTAGAACAGACCCAAATACAGATACACAAATAGCTCGAGTTAGGGTTCGGGGTGCGCGGTTTCGCACACAGGAAGGGAAGAGAAGGGGTGCGCACACCTGGTGCGTGCTCGTCACCGGCAAAGGGACCGACGGGGCTAGCTAGACCTGGCCACCTGCTGTGCTTCTGCCTCCGTGGCGTGGCAGTGTTCTAGTAGTAGTAACAAAAAGGATTAAAAAGTCATGCTAGAGCCGCCACGGTGCCCAGGTGCCACATCTGATCCTCCCCCAGATTGTGAACAGGCTCCGCTTCCCCAGCCTGATCATGGATAGTATGGCGCATGGGCCTCCGCCTCCATCTGATCCTCCCAAGATTGTGAACAGCCTGCATCTCATTCACCTCCTTGCACGAGCACTTCCAATTTTTAAGGCTTCAGTAACAACTAACAAGGCCAATAAGAACACGCCGATGAAGAGGTAGGCAATACAGTACGGCGAGTCGACGATTGAGGATTAGACAGAACACAGAAGGAAAAAAACCAACCCGTGTATGAAAAAAATACGGTTTGATGTGGGTTGGTTTCTAAAGAGAAATTTCTAAAATTGACATTCAATCTCAAGATTTGAGATCGGGAAGCTGGGGATTTGTTATCAGGGACAACGATGGTGATGTAGTGATGACTGGTAGAGGACGGATCAATCATCTACTAAGTCCCTTCCAAGCTGAGGTGATCGCGTGTTTACAAGGAATTCAGACTGCACTGAACCTTGCCATTGGTAAGCTGATATTGGAAACTGACGTTCTGCTGATCAAACAAGCTCTGGCTTCAACTGAAGTTTGTGATCGACCAGAGGAAGGTCTGGTGAATGAACTCAAATTCTTAGTCTCTACAAATTTTATTCACTTCGAGTGTGTGTTCCAGGGTAGAGATTGTAATAGGGTGGCCCATGAGTTGGCTTCTTTGGGGTATGATTGTGTAGAAGGAAATGAGCTAATTTCTAGCCTATTCCTGATCACATTGCTGTAATCGTAGCTGCGGATTTGTCAGCTGATAAGTAATGAAAATCCCGGTTCAAAAAAAAATGACTCAGGTTTACCCCACGTGTCATTGTGATATGAGCGTCAAATCTCAAAAGACTCGCGAATTGTAACGTCAATTATCAAAATCTCTCGGTTTCTAAACCGTAAATCAACAGGATGATGACCTAGTTATTAATCATTGTAATGATGCATGGCAGGATCAAATACATTCTTATAAAGCCAAAAGCATGAGAACTATTCGAATTTGGCATGGCTTATCTGACTTATAAAGCTATGGTTGAAAATAGAGCATATTTCTAGCATTTGGTGTGAGATAAAATAATGTTCATTAAGATATGAAGCAAACTGATGAGCTAGATAAGTGATGAAACAATATAAGCCCATCCGCGATTACGAAGTTCAAACGTCCCTTGTCATGCCGTGATTATAGATATGTTGTATAATGACTCTTCGCAACATGATAATGGGATCCCGCAAGGTCTCGAAGAACAACAAAGCTTCTCCGTGTGATTGAATAGGTTGTTGTGATTGGATAGTTTTTATCACCATGCATGGAGACGAGATCGAGTGGACACAAGTTGAAACTCCGTGGTTAGTGGGTATTATAGCTAGAGTGAAATACACACGGCGCCCCTTTAACTTATCGGCTGCGCGCTGCGCGGCAGCAGCGCTGTGTAACCACGAACTTGTAAACATGGAAAATAGGTCCCCTAAACTTGTCAAGTTGTTCACCGCAGCCCATTTCCCATCCGCGGGCCTAGCCTCCAAATCGACGTGACAAAGCCAAATACTTGGTTGATGATAAGTGGCTTATAAGCGTGAGCAAGCGAACATGCGTTATACATTATTGTATACCGAACGCAACATGATAATGGGACAATATGCATCTAGGCCCCTCCGATCTACCCATCTCCAAAATCCTATCTTCTTCAAGTTCATCGTGCTTTTAACTTATCGATGCGGCGGCGGCGGTCCCACGAACTTGTAAACATGGAGGGTCAAAAACTCAAGGCGACTTTGCAAGATTTCTCCGGCGCGGAGAGCAATGACAAGATTCTAGGCCGTTTCAATCCGAACGCAGGTGACAATATCATCTAGGCCCTCCGCATCGCCCCATCTCCTCCTCTCTTCTTCAAGTTCATCGTCTTTGAGATCGGATCGGCACCATGGCTAGCGGCGACAAGATTCGTCTGGAAGAGCAATGACAACCGAGGCCCCTCCATACCGTCCTCTCTCTCCGGGCCGTTCCTCCTCTTGCTCCCATCGTCGAGATCCATCGGCACCATGGCTAGCGAATCAAGGGCGGGCATCCAACCGATATGGTGCATCCGGTCACGAGGGAGTGCGGGCGCAAGGGTGGTGCTTTGGGCAAGCAAGCATGGAGCTTTGGGCAGGCGTTCTACTGCTACCCGTTCTACAAGGTTAGTGGTTCAATTAAGATGAAGTTCTTGTTCTTGCTAGATTCAAAGCTGATATTAAGGATTTTTGTAGCGAGATGGAACCGGTTGCCCTTTCTAGAAGTGGGAGAAGGAGTACTTGGAGGTGGTGTTCGGCAAGAACACTGTTGGTGCTCAAGCAAGTCCCAGCAATGCAGGCACAGCCATGGTGGAATCCCCTGATTTGAAGATGAACACTGATGGAGGAGTACGCAACAATGGTTGGGTGAAGAGGGAAGTTGTATCTGCTGAAATGGTGAAAGAAGTAGTCATGGTGCTTAAGGCTATATTTGTAGTCTGTGTTGCTCTACTGTTTGTGCTCATTCTTTTTCTGTTAGTCCTATTGGTGAAGTAGGTAAATGTGTAATCAGTACTGTTACTTTTGTGTAGCTCAGTAATGTTGGTTTCAGCAATCCTGTTATTCAGTAATGTTGGATTCAACAATCATGTTGGTTTTGAGCAACATTATGTTATCAATGCATATGTTCAGTAATGTTATCAAGCCATGTATGAAACCATCAATGAATAACAACAAGATGATGTTCACAGATCTTGCAATGTCAATTCCTCAAGATGGAACCATAACAGGATGATGTATTGTCATAGATTTTGTGTCCATCAACCATAACACACATGTCATTGTCCTGGATGTAAGGCACTAAGTAAGTACTATCTTCCTGTGCTTATATGGAAGAACCAAAAGATGTATCTATCTTCCCTGTCTGGCTGGAAGAACCAAAAGAAAGCAAAATAAGCCTAAAGCATCAAGTAAGATGTTTTTGCTGCTGCTTTACAGGTTCACAGAAACTAGCATAGTGAGCCTACTGACCTATACAAAAGCATCACAGACCACATTCACAGGTCTTCAAGCCTTCTTGTCTTGGTAGTTGCATTCTTCTTGGTCTTGCCTTGCTGATTACATGGGCCACTCGGCGCATTGCGCTTCAATCTTCCTCTTCCAGCCTTGCTTGTAGTGGTAGGGGGCACTGGCCTCATAGTAGGCTGGTTCCTGCTGATGAATGTGGAATCTAGCAATGGTTCCTTGTGAAGTTGTCTTTTGCTTGTTTGTGAGGACTGTATGGAATCAAGTTAGGTGTTTACAAGTTCAATTTGATAGAGTGGACGAAGTTTATGTGCACTTACATTTGCATGCAATTGAGAAAGGACAGTTCCTGTCATATTTGATAGCACTGGCTGGCTCCCCTCTCCAAACTGCATGGAAGCCTACAATGCCATGCTTCAGAGTGTATGAACTATTAATCCAATTGACATGCTAAATGAGTTTCACTTACTTGACTAGTAACTGGTTCTTCAAAACCTTCAGCTGATCCTCCTTCTTGGCCATGATCCACATTTGGTTTGTTTTGAGGTTGTAGTTCAGGCCTGATCCTAGCCTTCCTCAGCTTGCAACCACCTCTGTTATGCCCTTCTGTTCCACAATAAGAGCAAGTAATGACAGTACCATGCTTGGACATTTTAGGACCAAACTTGCCCATGACTTTATGAGGTTGCTTCCTTCTGTTCTTGGGGTGGCCTGCCAACTTTTTCTCATAGACTAGTGAAAGTACATTTGGTCCTTGAACTTTTGCCACATGCTCCTATCTTTGCAAGGATAAATCTTGGGACCATATGCTTTCAGGTAGGCTGCAGTAGAGTAGCACTCATGAACCATGGACTCATGAGGAATTCTCTCTATCCTCAAACAAGATATAGCATGAGAGCATGGGATACCAGTCAGCTCCCACCTCCTGCAATCACACTGTCTAATGCCTAGGTCCACTGTGTATTGTCTGTCCACCACATTGACCTAAAAATGCCATTACCAGCAAGCTATGCATAATAGGTGTTTGCCCACTGAGAATTCTTATGAAGTTTCTTCCTTATGTTGGGGCAAATAGTACCATCCCACACAGTCCCTACATCCTTGCCCTTTGTATGATACCTTGTCATCAGTTGTGTCTCGACTTGCTCTAACATGCTCAAGATAGGCATTTCTCTAGCATCTAGTATGTATTTATTAAACACCTCACAACTATTGTTTAGTAGAATATCACACTTGGAGAAAGTGCTAAAGAAAGCCCTAACCCAAGTATTTGGTGGCATCTTTTCTAGCCATTCAAAAGCTTTCTGGTTAAGGACCTTAATCTTCTCTAAGTTCTCATTCCACCTAACTACTGTGGTTGACCTAGCACAAGTTCAGAGTTAGTTCTTTAAGTTCTCACCTTTGAATTGCATCTGGAAATTGGAATATAGGTGTTTGACACAGAACCTGTGTTCAGATTCTAGGTAAACCTGTGCAATAGCTGGTACTAGACCCTGCAAATGGACAAGAACATATTAGCATGAATACTACAGCTGCAAGTTAAGAAGATGTGCAAAAGCTGGTACCTTCTGTTTGTTAGTCATGACAGTCTATGGGTATGTGTTTTCAATGCCTAGGTCTTGTTTTAATGTTTCCAAGAACCACTTCCAAGTAGCCAGAGACTCAACTTCTACAACTCCAAATGCAATTGGATAAATGCAGTCATTTGGATCAATTCCAATTGCAGTGAGCATTATCCCTCCATGCTTAGTCTTAAGGTGGCAACCATCTAGGCAGATTATAGGTCTACAACCAGCTAGGAAGCCCCTCTTGCAGGCATCCAAAGAAACATACAAGGATGAGAATAAATTTTCAGCAAGATTAAGATAGAAAGTGCTCCCTAGATTGCTTCTTCTCAATTCATGTGCATAATCCCACAACTTATTGTACTGCTCTTCTTTATCACCAAGTATCACCTTCATAGCAAGTCTCCTGGCCCTAGCAAGTGTAGTTCTTGGGGGTGTCAGTTTCCATTCCTTCTGGACTATCCTTACAAAGTTAGTGTCATCTTCTGGTCAGCCCGAAATGACTCTAAGTATGTATGAGCAAGCCACTTTGAGGTACATCTCTTCAATGTCCACTTCCTTTGACGAGTGTGCTGCCCATGATAAGTCTTGATCATCAGCCCCTGAGTCCTGCTATCACTTGAAACATATAAATTCCAAAGACATCCATCTCTACAATGAGCCTTCAACCTTTTCTTCTCATTCCTGAGCATCTTGATCTCTACCCTCTGCTTCATGCTATATTGTGTGATAGCCTTCCTGAGCATTTCAACTGATTCAAATATCATGCCAACTTTGAAGATGGGATTATCTATGTCTTCACTTCTGAATGACTTAAACCTTAGACATTGTCCTTCTTTATCAGATTCTGGCAATTCTAGCTCAGATTCATCTGTTGACTCCTCTCCATAACCAGCCAAAGATGAAACCTTTTTCCCCTTCAGTTTGCTACCAACAACCTTCTTGGCCTTACCTTTCTGCTGCCCTTTGCTGCCAATCTCCTCTATGACATCCTCATCAACATAGTCCACAAAAATATCATCATCATCTCCCTCTAAATCATAATCACTATTACTGAAATCAAAGTCATCTTCACTGTCACCATCATCACCATGCACATCATGCTACACTGAATCTTGCTGCACTAAATCCTGCTCCATTTCAAATGGTGACAATTCTTCTCCTTCTTCCTTCCCAACAAATCCTCCCTTGGCTGGGCTGATTACTTCGGGTAGTGAAGCAATTGGGTTTGCCACTATGTCATCCCAGTTTATGCCAGGCATGCTGTTATCATGATCAAAATAGACAATAAGGTTCTTCACCCTGTCAGCAATGTCAGTCATCACCAATGTCTCTGAATCTGACTCAATCACCCTAAGTCCATGAGCAAGATCCATTCCAGGAAGCAACCAGTATATCTTTAGAGCATCTATTTTAGGACATTTCAACTCATCAACAAAATCCAAGAACCACAATGGAGACCAGGTATCTACCTCGTAATGGTCAAACCAGTTCACTTTTCCATCAATGTAAGCCTTATTCGAATCCTGACCAACAAAGAAACCACAGTGGTGCACCTCAACAGAGAACTTGTTCTCAGCATCGCCTACATTGAACCAAATGATGCTCATTACTACTTGATTTATTTAGGCGACACCAGGAACCCTAAACCCTAGCCACCAAAACAAACGAAATTGCCCTATACCAGGAACAAGTACATGCACACCACCACATCCTAAAGGCACTAATAAAGGTTTTGAGCTTCAATTGACTAACCGTAGTCTGACGGTGGTTCCCCTTTTGGTTGCAGGCACGACGCCATGCCGCAGATTCACCGTGATAGCGGCAGAAACCTGCGCTCCCCAGGTACGTTTCGTCGTTGCTTTTCCACAAAATCTTGCAAAGTCGCCGACTTTTGCCTCCGTCACAAGCCACCGCGCCCCCGCCGCCGCCTCGCCCCCAGCACGATGAACTTGAAGAAGACAGGATTTTGGAGATGTGCAGATGCAGAGGGGCCTAGATGCATATTGTCACCTGCGTTCGGTATTGAAACGTGTGGCTCACGTGCTTCGTCCGCCACGCTGGCGCTGCCACATCTCCTGGAGGCCGCGCCGGATATGAAATGGGCTTGTGGTGAACAACTTGACAAGTTTAGGGGTCCATTTTCCGCGTTTGCAAGTTCGTGGACCGAACTGGCATAGGCCAACAAGTTAAAGGGACGCCAGTGCATTTCACTCTTATAGCTATATATAGGGTGAGAGACAGTGTCCAAAATCAGAAATCAACTCACAATGACTCACTGCGGAATTGTGCAGCAAGGAGCGAGAGGCCAAGAGATACGGCCAGATGGGCACCAGGCACCTTCGGGCAGCGGCCGTGCGATTCTGGACGGCGGCTACCGTGGATCAGATGGCTTGCAGGAACAGGCGGATCTACTCGGCGCGGTGCGGTGGCCACTGTCTAGCGCCAGCTAGACGAGGCGGACAGGCCTGAGGGGCACCAGGGCGCCGCTGCGCCCGCTCCACAATGGAGGTAGAGCGGAGGGGCACGGTCAGGGTGGCTTCGGCGCTTGCGGCGAAGAACGGAGGCGGTGGAGGCGCGTCAGGCGAGGACGTGGAGCTAAAGTCCTTCGTGGGTGGTTCCTGGCTATTACTGGGCTGCACTGAGTCGCAGTAGAAGAAAAAGTTTTTTGGTCTCGGCCCGGGCTGCGGCCTGCAACCCGCCCAGCAACACGTCTGTCATTGTCATTGTGTGTTGACTAAAAGGATGCTGCAGCCCCGACATGTTCCTAGTCCGCTAAAACAGCCCACTCAGCGGAGCCCAAGTGCGCTTATTCTGTTTCTTGCTTCTCGAATTCCAAAACTAAACAGCTTACCCCTGAATCATTCAAATTGCTTCCTTCCTGAAATTGCATTTGTCCTCGTTATGGATTTTGGTATATTGATTGATGACATTCAAATTGTATTACTCCCGTGTGTATGTCGTTGT